ATTGTCTGCTGTCTTTGGGGCATTCAGTAGTTATTTTTCTCGTTTACTGATTGTAGATTTGTGTGTTTCTTCCCTTTTTTTCTAAATTTTACTATGTCTGAGCAGGTGGACTGTGTGTTCTTTGTTGCTTGCTCATCTGTGGGCACAATACTTTTCGCCTCCTTCTTCAACTGGCACGGTCAGTCACTCAGATATGGTACGGCAGGGCAGGTCTAGCTGAAGAGGAGTTACTGGGATGGGTTGTTTGTGGCACTTACTACAGCCACCAGGGCGGGTCAGTAATCAGTGCAGGGCATGTTCCAGTAGGCTGTGCCCGTGCTGCTTGGTGGTGTGATGTCAAGCGCACAGTGCACATAGGCAGCATGCAGCGCGGAGATTGTTATGTGTGGAGCTAAGATGGATATGGGAGAGAGGAGAGAGGATCAAGAGCCAAAAACATACAAAAAAAAAAAAAAGTGCTAGGGGAGCTTGCTGTTGTAGTGGAGAGATGAGAGACTATGAAATGGAGAAAAACAGACAGGGGAAGTGGAAGAAAAGAGAAGAATGAATAAATAAAAATCGGAAAGATTACAGAACTGCAAATTTCCCAGGGATCGCACTGGTGCAGCTATGAGGTCTGGGGAAGTCGCTCTCAGGTGTTGCAGTACAGCCTGGCTAGAAGGCTTAGAGGTATACAATGCCAGGTATTCAGGGAACAGAATGAGAAGGAAGATACAGAAAGACGAAAAACTGAACAATGAAGAAAGACGAAAAGGGAAGAAGAGGGAAAAGAAAACAAAAGAAATTGAAAAAAAAAGAACCATAAAGGCCCCCCAAAAAACAGAAAAAAAAAACAACGAAAAATGAAATCTCATCAGGGATCCCTCTGCACGTCTGTGCAAGCCGAGGGGGAGGTCTCCTTGCCACACAGCACTGCCTGGCCAGAAGGGGCTCCCAACTCAAGAAAAGGAAAAGAAAACAAACAATTCAAAACATGCAAATGAACAAAAGCCCCAGGATTCCACCAGCACGGCAGCCCAGACCGGGATGCAGCTCCACACTCGATCGGAGCTCCACAGCCCCTCAGGAAGAAGCAAAGATGGTGCATGGAGCCTGGTATTTGAGCGAAAGGAGGGGGAGGTGGTGAGAGGTAAGGAAGAAATCAAAAGAAGCAGGAAAAAAAGCAACACTAGCAGCCAACAAATGGCACTCAGAGACCTAGCTAGTGCGGGGTGGTGGAATCCAAGCAGCCGGAGTTTCTCAGACAAGAGACTGTGTCCACAGGAAGCAGAGGGGCCTGAGTGTGGGTGAAGAAGGGTAGGGAGAGGGAAAGCGTATATCACAAATTACCAGAGCTCTGCAGCCCCTCAGGAAGAAGCAATGATGGCCTACGGAGCCAGGTATTTGAGCGAAAGGAGGGGGAGGTGGTGAGAGGTAAGGAAGAAATCAAAAGAAGCGGAAAAAAGCAACACCAGCAGCCAACAAATGGCACTCAGAGAGCCGGCCTGTTCGGGTGTGTGGAATTCAAGCAGCCGATATTTCCTGGTCAAGAGATTGTGGCCATGGGAGGCACAGGAGCCCTAGTCAGGGTGAAGAAGTGTGGGGGGTGGGAAAGCGTGTATCGCAAATTACCGGTTGTTTTGTCTCCTGCTGGACACTCCGTGAGGCTGCTTTCTCGTACCCCCTGTTTGCTGGTCTCCGATAGGAGTCCAAGATGGCGGATCCGCGCTGCGTTAGCTGGTAGGGGACCTCTGCATGAATCTCTCCTTGCTCTCCGTTCTCTGTCAGTTTTCTCACTCCATTTGGTGCTTGGCTGAGTTCTTTATCTCTTCATTTGATGTTTTAGGGTTTCAGGATTGTTGTAGTCTCTGTTCGGCTTAGTTTTTTGGATCTTTGCTGTGGAGGGTTGGCGTGGTGCTTCTGCCTAGAGCGCCATTTTGCCTCTTCCTCCATTTTTAAAAAAAAGTTTTTCCTTCAATTTTTTAAAAATAATATTTTACTTTGTTTTTGTTGAAAGTTTTCACAGCCCTCCTTTTTTTATTTGTTGAAGAAACCAGGTTGTTTGTCCTATAGAGTTTTCTAAATTTTGGATTTTGATGATTGCATTCTCATCGTGTCCTTCACATAGTCCTCTGTGCCTTGTTTTTCCTTTGAACTAGTAGTTAGCTCTAGAGGCTTTTTCTGATTCAGGTTCAGTTTTTGTCAGGAATTCATTGGCAGTGTCATGTACTTCCATTGGGCAGCGCTAATGTCGGCTGGTTTCTTTTTTTGTTGTGTTAGTACCTTTTGATGATTATTATCCTAAGATCCATTATTTCTGTAAGGATTTGCATATTCTAATTCTGTCATTCCTTCTTTATTAATTATAATAGAGAGAAAATTCCCCCCATGAAAGACAGATTAAATGCTCCATTCTTTCCCTTTATTTAGCAGTTTTGAGAATAACAAGTTGGTTCCATAACATCCTTAAAAGCTGTCCAACTAGTTTTTTTTTAAGTATCTTTATGAACTCATGGATTTTAACATATTTAATTAGTTTTAATCCATTGTAGTTATTAGTCTTACTGATGAAGAGTGTTCCATCTTTGGCCATTTTACCTTATGTGGTACAGTCATATACCTTATATTCAACCAGCCCCCATTGATGGACATTTGGGTGCTGCAATGAATAGACTTGTGCATATGTCTTCATATTTGAAGCTATTACTTGTAACCATTTATGTTTTTACTTCTCATGGTTACCTCTATGTGTCTTAGTCATATGCTTGTACCACTAATTCCTGAGTAATCAGCTTTATAGATGATCTGTTTTTTTCCTGCAATGATAGATGATGATTTCCCCCACTTATACTACCTCTCTCTGCAACCTTTCCCAGTTTTTGTTAGTAACATTATACTATGCATAATTTGTGTGATGCTACCTTTTAAACTTTAAATAATATATTTAAACTTTTATTTATTTTTCTATTAACTTTGAGATTATATCCTTACTTTCCACTTTGTGAGATGTTAGTACCTTTACCATTCTCTCTACGTCTTCGCCCCTTTAGCCTTCCAGCTTCTGCCACCTCTAACCTTTGCATTTTGGGCTTGTTGATTCCAAAGGTTGGGTCCAAAAAATGAAAACTAAAAGATGCATTTTCATGATTCTAACTATTATTTGACTCTGTGGATAATAATTTTATTTCTCTTCATGTTTCCATCTTCTAGGTCTCTTAATTATATTCCCTCGGGTATTCTTCTATTTGTTGAGTGTGATATCCTTTCATGGTATTAGTTTCCCTCAAAGGTTTGGTGGTTCTTGCTCATATTTGATTTGAGATTTCTTGATGGTCTTCGGTGAATGCTGTGTCACACTGTTTACTATAGCCTGAATCCAGAGACTGATGGAGAGGAAGGACAGGATGTTTTGCATTTGACCTATGTTGTCAGCCACGTGGAACTCGACTAGTTCTCTCCAGCCCAAGTAATTGTACTTGCTGCTCCTTGCTGGAGATGGGAAAGATACTTTTTGTGGGGTGGCTAATTGCCTGATGCTCCTGTTGTTCACACCCAAGGATGTTTCTACATTTAGCATTAATGTGAGCGTTGGGATGTCAATTTCTGCCTCATCCCATTGGCTGTTTTTCAGAGTTTCTTCATAATTTCAGATTTACTGAAAATGCTCCTTATATTCCAGGAATGTGATTGAATAAAAAAATATGTATGTCTTTTCTCTTCTTTCTAAGGAAGATATATGTTTATGTATCTCTATCCATCTATCAATATTTTCATTCTGTCATTTCTAGGGATTTACGGTAGAAGGAGTAGCTGTACTATGTGCTCAGTCCTCCCTCTTGATTTAATCATTGCTTGTTTCCATAGCATTTGCACATATGACATACCAATTATTTATTTAGATGTTTATCACTTACAATACTTGAGCTTCTTCAGGGTGCACGGCATGTAAAGGACGCTTAGTAAATGTTTGTTGGATTAATAAAAATTTTATTAGATATGGAATAAAAACTAGAACCCAAGTGTGTTGACTTACAGTCTAATGTTTATCATATAATAATTTTCATGAAGTATGTGAAGGCCTAAGTTTTCAGAACTTTCTTTTCCTATCTAAATTATCCCAATGCTTTCTTTTAATATTTCTTCAGAAGATGTGTTTTCAAGTCTATTAATTTTTTTTTTGTTATTGCTCTTAAGACCTCCCCAAAAACCAAACCCATTGCTGTTGAGTCAATTCTGACTCATGGCAACCCTGTAGGACAGAGTAGAACTGCCCCATAGTGTTTTCAAGGAATGGCTGGTGGATTTGAACTGCCAACCTTTTCGTTAGCAGCCGAGCTCTTAACCTCTGCACCTCTAGGGCTCCTTCTTAAGACCATTTGCTCTTAAATTATGGAGTTCAAAACAAAAAACAGTGCACTAATAAATGCTGACTGTTACTTGTTGTTTCCAGTGGGTTATTGTCCTAGTTATCTAGTGCTGCTATACCAGAAATACCACAAGTGGGTGGCTTAACAAACAGAAATTTAATTTCTTACCGTTTAGGAGGCTAGAAGTCTGAATTCAGGGTGCTGGCTCTAGGTAAAGTCTTTCTCTCTCTTGGCTCTGGGGGAAGGTCCTTGTTTCTTTTCAGCTTCTATTTCTTGGTTCTTTGGAAATCTCATGTGGCATGGCATCTATCTTCCCCCATCTCTGTTTTCTTGCTTGGTTGCTTGCTCAATCTGCTCGTCTGTATCTCAGAAGAGATTGTCTTAAGACACATCTTACACCACTAATACTGTCTCATTAACATAACAAAGAAACCCATTCCCAAATGCAATTATAACCATGGGTATAGGGGTTAGGATTTAGTGGTTAGGATTTACAACACATATTTTTTGGGGACACAATTTAATCCATAGCAGTTATACTACTGAATATGGACAGAGGATAAATATTTTCTCCAATACCTGCTCATATAATAAAGAATTAGTTTGGGAGAGGTGTGAATTTTAAATAATTATTTTATAACTTCTCTCTTCTAGATGACTATGAAAACCGGAAAAGTGTGGGTGAATGTAGGAAATGCTATGATGGCTGATAAATTTTTTCAAGCTGCCATGGCTGTAAGTTTTTTGATTTTTAGCTGTAGTAATTATTAGTGACATCTGTGGTTATTCTCATCATTATATTGTATTGTGGTTTTATTTTCCAGAGTCTGGAGCAATTATATGTCAAATTAACGCAAAGGAGCTTTACTGAGACGCAGTTGACCATGCAGAAGATTGCTGTGGAGAGGGACGTCTTCAAAGTGCTTTCTTATCAGGCTGAATCAGTACGTATCGTAGTCAACAGGACCTTGCAGTGGACCATTTTGTATATGTAATGTACATAAATGCAAAAGTGATGAGATGTAATATATCCGAAGAAAGTCAGGTTTCACTGGCCTTATACCCCCCCACCCCCACTGCTGTCGAGTCGATTCCAACTCACTGTTGACCCCATAGGGTTTCCAAGGCTGTGAATCTCTATGGAAGCAGACTGCTATATCTTTCTCCCACGGAGCCACTGGTGGTCTTGAACTGTCTACCTTTCGGTTAGCAGTCGATCGCTTTAATGATTGCACCACTGCGGCTCCTTCATTGGCCTTATAGGAAATTATATTTGACCTTTTTATCTCTGTCTTGTATGTGGAGGTGATATTTCTAATAGTGATTGGCATCTGTGTGAGAGTGGGTGAGGTTGAAAGACTGATACATAGCTAAACATCATTTTCAACCACTGCATGTAATGTCTGTCACTTGATTTATGGCAGCAACTTGTACTTGAATGACCTGTCTCTGTGTCTTTCTCTTATATTCACAGTCTGCTTAAAATATTTGCCTAAAAAGAACCTTCTCATTTGCAATTGTTCTGGGTTGTTTGCTGATATTTTCTAGAAATCTGCTGCTATCACACAGTGTACAAAGTTGTGCTTCACCTCACATTGGCTTCTGGGTTTCCTCCTTTCTGTCACCATGCAGTTAAGTGTACATTTTCAGTTGATAAAATGTAAGCTGTGATGAGTTTGTTCTCTGTTATTATATAATTCTAGAAATAAAAGAGACTTTAGGTGTCAACGAGGGTAGTCCCCCTATTTTTATCTTATTTTATTTTTTAAATATAATTTGTTTTTATTGTGGTAAAATATATATAAGAAAACATTTGCCATTTTAACCATTTTTTAATTGAAATTTAGATGAAAGTTTACAGAACAAACTAGCCTCTCATTAAACAGTTAGCACATACATTGTTCTATGACATTAGTTGACAACTCCATGGCATGTCAGTACTCTCCCTTCTCGGCCTTGGGTTCCCTATTACCAGCTTTCCTGTCCCCTCCTACCTTCTAGTTCTTGCCCCTGGGCTGGTGTGTCCCTTTAGTCTTGTTTTGTCCTATGGGTCTGTCCAATCTTTGACCAAAAGGTGAACCTCCAGAGTGACTCCATTACTGGGCTAAAAGGCTGTCCAGGGTCCATACTCTTAGGATTTCTCCAGTCTCTGTCAGCCCAGTAAGTCTGGTCTTTTTTTTTTTTTTTTAGTTAGAATTTTGTTCCACATTTTTTTCCAGCTCTGTCCGGGATCCTCTATTGTGATCTCTGTCAGAGCAGTGAGTGGTGGTAGCCGGGCACCATCTAGTTGTACTGGACTCAGTCTGGTGGAGGCCATAGTAGTTGTGGTCTGTTAGTCCTTTGGACTAATCTTTCCCTTGTTTCTTTAGTTTTCTTCATTTTCCCGTGCTCCTGAAGGGATGAGACCAGTGGAGTATCTTAGATGGCCACTCACAGGCTTTTAAATACCCCAGATGCTACTCACCAAAGTAGAATGTAGAACATTTTCTTTATAAACTATGTTATGCCAATTGATCTAGGTGTTCCCTGAGACCATGGTCTCCACAGCCCTCAGCCCACTACTTCTGTCCCTGCGGGAGTTTGGATTTGTCTATGGAGCTTCCATGACCTTGCCCTGAACAAGTTGTGCTGGCTTCCACAGTATTGTGTACTGTCTTGTCCTTCACCAAAATTACCAGTTATCTATAGTCTATTTAGCGTTTTTCCACCCCCACCCCTCCCTTCCCTCATAACCATCAAAGATTGTTTCTTTTTGTGTGTAAACCTTTTCATGAGTTTTTATAGTAGTTGTCTCATACTATATTTGTCCTTTTGTGATTGACTTAATTCACTCAGCATAATGCCTTCCAGATTCATCCATGTTGTGAGATGCTTCGCAGATTCATCATTGTTCTTTATCATTACATAGTATTCCATTGTGTGTGTGTACCATAGTTTGTTTATCCATTCATCTGTTGATGGGCATCTAGATTGTTTCCATCTTTTTGCTGTTGTGAACAATGCTGCAGTGAAGATGGGTATACATATGTCTATTCGTGTGACGGCTCTTACTTCTCTAGGATATATTCCTAGGAGTGGGATTGCTGGAACGTATGGTATTTTATTTGTAGCTTTCTAAGGAAGCGCCATACCGTTTTCCAAAATGGTTGTACCATTTTGCATTCCCAGCAGCAGTGCATAAGAGTTACAATCTCCCCGCAGCGTCTCCAACATTTGTTATTTTCTGTTTTTTTTTTTTTTTTATTCTTGCCAGTAATGCTGGGGCAAGATGGAATCTCATTGTGGTTTTGATTTGCATTTCTCTAATGGCAAGTGATCTTGAGCATTTCCTCATGTGTCTGTTAGCCACTTGAATGTCTTCTTTGGTGAAGTGTCTGTTCATTTCCTTTGCCAACTGTTTAGTTGGATTATTTGTCTTTTTGTTGTAGAAGTGTTGGATTTTCCTGTATATTGTAAAGATTAGACCTTTGTCGGATTTGTCAGAGCCAAAAATTTTTTTGCAGTCTGTAGGTTCTCTTTTGGTGAAGTCTTTTGATGAGCACAAGTGTTTAATTTTTAGAAGATCCCAGTTATCTAGCTTATCTTCTGGAGTTTTATATTGTTAGGTATGGTTTGTATCCTGTTAATGCTGTGTATTAGGGTCTCTAGCTTTGTTATATATAACACAACATTTGCCATTTTAACCATTTTTAAGTGACCAATTAGTGGCATTAATTACATTCACAATGTTGTGCAACCATCACAACTATCAATTTCTAAAACTTTCTCATCACCCCAAATAGAAACTCTGTACCCATTAAGAAATAACTCTCCATTCTTTCCTCCCTCCAGACCATGGTAACCTCTACTCTATTTTGTCTCTATCAATTTGTCTATTGTAGATATTTCATGTAAGTGGAATCATACAATGTTTGTCCTTTTTTTGTCTGACTTATTTTACTTAGCACAATGTTTTCAAGGTTCATCCATGTTGTACCATGTATCAGAATTTCATTTCTCTTTACGGCTAAATAATGTTGCATTCTATGCATATATGACATCTTATTTATCCATTCATCATTTGATGGACACTTGGGTTGTTTTTATCTTTTGAGTATTGTGAATAATGCGTCAATAAACATTGGCAGGCAAATATCTGTCTGAGCCCCTGTTTTTGATTCTTTTGGGTATATACCTTGGAGTGGAATTGGTAGGTCATATGATAATTCTATATTTAACTTTTTGAGAAACCACCAAACTGTTTTCCATAGTGGCTGCACCATTTTACATTCCCACCAGCAATGGACAAGGGTTGCAGTTTCTCCACATTGTCTTCACCACTTATTTTCTGTGTTTTTTTATTTTATTTTTGTAATAGCCATCCTTGTAGATGTGAAGTGATATCTCATTGTGGTTTTTTTTTTTTTAGTTTTTTTATTGTACTTTAGTTGAAAGTTTACAGCTCAAATTAGTTTCTCATTCAAAAATTTATACACAAATTGTTTTGTGACAATGGTTGCCATCCCCGGATTATGTCAGCACTCTCCCTCTTTTCCTTTCCACCTCGGGTTCCCCATTCCATTCGTCCAGTTTTCCTGTCCTTTCCTGCCTTCTCGTCTTTGCTTTGGGGCAGATGTTGCCCATTTGGTCTCATATATTTGATTGAACTAAGAAGCACATTCCTCATGTGTGTTATTGTTTCTTTTATAGGCCTGTCTAATCTTTGGCTGAAAGGTGGATTTCAGGAGTGGCTTCAGTTCTGAGTTTGCAGAGTGTCCGGGGGCATAGTTTCAGGGGTTCCTCCAGTCTCTATCAGACCACTAAGTCTGGTCTTTTTTTTGTGTGAATTTGAATTTTGTTCTACATTTTTCTCCCTCTCTGTCCAGGACCCTCTGTTGTGATCTCTGTCAGAGTGACTGGTAGTGGTAGCTGGGCACCATATAGTTCTTCTGGGCTCAGGCTAGTGGAAGCTGTGGTTCATGTGGTCCATTAGTCTTTTGGACTAATATTTTCCTTGTGTCTTTGGTTTTCTTCATTCTCCTTTGCTCCAGATGGAATGGAACCAGTAGATGTATCTTAGATGGCCACTCGCAAGCTTTTAAGACCCCAGATGCTCCTCACCAAAGTAGGATGATAGAACATTTTCTTTATGAACTATGTTATGCCAATTGACTTAGATGTCCCCCAAGACCATGGTCCCCAGCCCTCAGCCCCAGTAACTCAGTCCCTCAAGGTGTTTGGATGTGTCTATCTCATTGTAGTTTTGATTTGCATTTCCCTAATGACTAATGATGTTGAGCATCTTTTCATGTCCTTTTGGACATTTACATATATTCTTTGGAGAAATGTCTATTTAAGTCATTTGCCCATTTTTAAAAACTGGGTTGTTTGTCTTTTTGTTGTTGAGTTATATGAGTTTTTAAAAATATATATTCTGGATACTAAACCCTTATCAAATATATGATTTGCAAATATTTTCTCCCATTTTGTAGGTTGTCGTTTCACTGTCTTGATAATATACTTCAATGCACAAATGTTTTTAACTTTGATAAAGGTCGATTTATCTATTTTTTCTTTTGTTACGCATGATTTTGGTATAATATCTAAGAATCAATTGTGCAATACAAAGTCCTGAAAATTTACTTCAATGTTCTCTTCTAAGATTTTTATGGTTTTTGCTCTTATATTTAGGTCAGTGATCCATTTTGAGTTAATTTTTGTGTGGTGTGAGGTTGAGGTCCAATTTCATTCTTTCACATGTGATTATCCAGTTGTCCCAGTACCAGTTATTGAACAGACTGTTCTTTTCCCATTGAATTGTCTTAACACCCTTGTCTAAAATCAGTTTATCATTAATGTAAGAATTTGTTTCTGGATTCTCAGTTTAGTTCCATTGGTCTATATGTCTATCCTTATGTTGGCACCACACTGTTTTGATTACTGTTGCTTTGTATTAAGTTTTGAA